AGGATGTCTCAGTGGTTATAGTAAGAACTGAAGCTGTGTTAAGTTTAGCATCCTTATCTATCACTAGCTTACTGTCTTTCTCAAGTCACTTTGGGTTACCACTATAATTACACTGATAACGTCTCCTATGTAGGCATACATGCAGGAGTGAAAACTTTTCTTTTTTTTCCTTAGCTTATCTCAAACAACCTTCAAACTCTCAGTACTAAATCAAATGAAATACATTCTTATTCTACAAGAAGAGTGCCTCCTTTCTTGTTGGATAGTTGTGTTTTAAGTACAACAGGATAGGGTCACAGCTTAAGTGTACTAAAATTAGTCAGGCAGATAAATTTATCTTTTAGATGGAGAGCTGAAAGATAAAAGTGAGGATAAAAGTACTTCCCGACTTTACGGAGGTGTTTGGAAAATAAATATCCCTTTAAAGTTGTTAAGCACTCTTATAGTATAGTCCTCATGCATGTATGGAGAAGGGCTGTGTGACCTGGGAGTGATGACCAGCTTGCCTGGGAAAGCTGGACTTTCAAACGTACCCCACTGTGCAAATCTAAAGATTATCCTTTCCAAGATATAACCTATCCTTATAAGGTTCTGGCATTTTATAGCTAGGGCCTCCACTGTGTCCCTACCTCGCACCTACAGATTCAGTACCCTCAGACATGGTGTTTCCTTTATAGGACACACTGAGTTCACTCTTGCCTGGGGGAATGGAGCCTCTTGCCCATCAGCTTCACACTCCTCCAAGAAATTCTGTGCCCTGCACGGTTTTAAAAATGGATGGGGAAATGCCAGAAAAAGGAATCATTTTACCCAGAGAAATTCAAAGGACAGTGAAGGTCTATAGGCTCATAACACAGAGGTTCTACTTTCATCTCAATGCCATGTCATCAGCTGAGGAACATCCATTCAAAGTTAATATAGACCAAAAACAAATCTGACAAGCAGTGCATCTCTATTGGTGGCTTTCATCTTTCTTCCCCCATTCTCTGCCTTAAGAGTTTGTGGAAGGGTACACAGACATATCCTATAACCAGGCTGAAAGCCCTTTCTCCAGCTCCTTATCCTCACCACGTACAAGCAAAGTTCACTCCTGAGCTCAGATCACACAAACTCACACACATGCACACACCAGAAAGTGTGGGAGGCTCAAACCGCCTCAGAAACCACCACCCAAGCAACTGGGCACACAGGACTCTGCATTGCAAGACGTTTGGAAAGAGGGGAAAAAGTAGTGTTAGAACGAAGCATGTCCTCTAAGATTCCACAAATCCTGCTCATAGATCTGGGCAAACAGAAGGTCTTGAAGACATCTTGGAAAAAGAATCAAAGGAGGAAGGTTCCCAGATTTTGGCTCAAAGGAGGGGAGGTTCAGATTCCTTATTTGTATTCCAGATCCTGGCTCTGGCCTTGAGATGAGGACCCAGCCAGGATGGTGGGTCAAAGAAGAAAGAATATGGACACTGAACAAATAATTGCATGTCACAGTAGAGGTCATCATTGCCCATGACAATACAGCACAGATTCAGAAGTACTTCAAAATATTCTTAGAAATTGAGATCATAATTTGACTGAGGGAAAAGGTTTTCACAGAGCACGCTGGAGGATCCAGGCAGGGAGCAGGGAACGCACCCAGCGCACACTCTGTGAGGGTTGCCACGGAGCATCAGAGCTTGCAATGTGTGGACATCAATCATTAGCTCGCTACCCAACTGCTGCCATACCCACAAGCTCTTCTACTCCTTCTCTGACTATTCTATTCTCCGACTTTCATATTTATGAATCTTTAAAAGGATGCTGGAATAGCCCAGTTTTGAAAGGTACTTTAAAGATGCACTATTCAAAAATGTTATTAAAAGTAGCATAGACTTTCATTATACAAAGCATTTATTTTATCTTTTTAAAAAGTGCAACATAAAATATCCTAAGTCCCTCCCAATCGAACGACTGTCTAAATGGTGTTTTGAACTAGATGAAGAACTAAAACTATTTTAAACTGTATGAAAGCTAAACGATGCATTTGCATGTAATAATGCTAGTAAAGGATATTTCCTTCAGGAATGGAGGGATGAAAAAGGAAAAACAAAGAACAAGGAATACAAGGAGATAACAAAGGAAAGAAAAAAGCAAAATATACTAAGCTACATGGAACAAGAGGAATGGAAGAAGTGGGATGGAGATACTAAAAGCAACACTAGAAAAAGTTTGCTACTAAGAGATGTAAGATGAACTAAATATAGAATGTTTATGAAAATTTCCTAGTTTTAAAAATTTTCTAAGTAAAGGGTAATACTACAAACAGCATACACCCCTCAATTGGAGGGAGGATGGTTTTGTAAGAATGACATGGATCTTTTCAGTATCAGCTGGTCAGTTCTTGTCAAACAGACTTTGGCTTATGAACAGATATCTATATGAGTCAGGAAGCTTTTAAAAACACTTTAGTTCACCTATAAAGTATAATATATCCTAGAAAGTAGTAATTAATTTATGAGGAAACTAGACGAGAAATGTAAAAATAGAAATATACATGAAAAATACAAATATAATGACAATTTCTCCAGAATCTGCCTGGCTGAACACTCAAAACTTGTTTTGTAAGTGAAATTAATTACATCATTCTCTCCATGAAACCTATTTCGAATGACATTGCAAGAATCTTCTTCAAGATACAATAGCAAGAGAGACTGATACTACATTTAAAACTTTTTTCCCCTGAAAAAATATACTCCAGGTAGCGGGGAAAGACACACACATGACTTTTGCAAACACAAAATAAACAAAAACATTGCAGAAGTTATAAACCTGAGTTCAAAATGAGCACATTGCTTGTGTGACGCAGCTACTAGTTATGCTGATTACAGAAGTCATTAAAACCATTAGACATTATTAAAACAAACTGTATAACAACTACAGACAAAGTAAATTACAGAAAAAAATGTATTTTAACATTTCAGAAATTATATTCGTGCTGTACACAGCTCAAACGGTGCTCAAACTTCTAAAATGTTTCTGCAAATCAAATTGTGTGAATTCAAAGGCTATCTTTTGAAGAGTAGTGCTGAAAACCATAAGAAAACTTTCAATATTCTCCGTCAGGAACATAAAGGTTTCATTTGAAATCTTCAAACTTATGTGGTTTCAAAGGTGCAATAATCTTATGTCTAATTCTAGATACCAATTATTTTTAGAAATTCAAATCTTGCCTGTTCTGAGCCTCAGAGAAAAGGAAAATGTTTGTATTTTCAGGATAAATGGAAAATATAAAGTATCAGCCTCCCTGTTAAATAAAAGTGACATTCACCTTGAACTGCTAAATCATTACGAGTCCAAGAGTCAATCACAATCTGGGTAGCAGAGATATATCACAATAAATTATTTATATAGCCACCATCTTTGCACAGAAATGTGTTTATACATTCACAAAGATGATTCCTACATCATTCCTCATTAAATAACCTTGCAAGAAAAGAAAAAATAATTTCAAACTCTTAAGCAATAAGGAATACCTGCAACCATGCGTGCACAAATAATCCTGTATAAAGCTGAAATCCTCTCCTTTGCCACTTACTTGTCTATTTTGAAACATAGCAACTCTAACAAATGTGCAATGCAAAAATTTGAAATGCATAGTTATCTAAAGTCTAAAACTAAAAAATAAAGTAACCCTTGACTGGTAAGTAACCTGACTTTCGCAATGTGAAATGATCTACTTCAGTTTGAAACCAAAAAAGACAGTTATAGTAGCAAGAAGAATAGTAATCATTAAAAACATTAAATTCAGCAGAACGGACAAACAATCAGATATTAAATCTACCAGCTACACTGAATAATACACTATCCATATCATGGATTTATACTGGACCTTAAAATCAATGATGCTTGAATTCTCCTAAAGACTCAATTCTAAAATAGAAACAGAGTCAAGCAGTAAACACAGGATGCTTTTAAAAGTTTGTTGTCAGACAGCCTAAAGCATGGTGGTTCCCCAAAACTGCCATATTTATAGTGTAGGAGAAGCAAATGGGATTTTGCAACAGTGTTCTTATTGCATCATGTCGAAGCATTCCTGGGAAAACCATTCACCTCTATTTAAAAATATGAAATAGTCTTACAGCTGGTCTACATAGCATTTGCTACTTTTCAAAGTACACTGATTCAGCTATAGTAGTACCAATACCTTATACAGACGCATTTAAACGTGTTTAAATCATACATATACCAGTTATGTTTAATTAGGTAAATTACCAGATTAAACTACTGTAATTAAAGTACAATTTAAAACCATTTAAGTGTTCCTTCATTAGGTACTTTCACTGGAGTAAATCATTCATTTACACTAGAGCAAGATTTCCAATACTGACAAGTTCTTAGATGATAATGAGAGCAATTTCAGTTTGATTCCCCAAAATCACCACGTAAGCAAACATATAAATTATCATACACGTTTGAGCTGAATTATTGACCACTGCAATAGTAAGTCTAAAGAAACTGAAGGAATGTGCAAAATAGAATGCAATTAACATTGAAATAATCTTACCTTTATTAGATTTGGATGACTTGTTCTTGTTAGGTTTAAAACAAGAGCTCCTTGATTTATCTTCTCTATCCTTAATAAATTTCTGCACATCATCCAGAGATAGCTTCTGAAGAACAACTACAGGCTTAGCTCCTTTATTTAGATCTTCAACTAGACCAATGTTTTCTACTTTATGCTTCTGTTCATCTTTAATTTCATTTTTTCTCGACTCCTGAGTGACATTGCCATCTTTATCACGCTTGATTTTTGGAATGACAAAATGCTTCAATGCACCAGATCTTGCCCCCAACAAATAACTGGGAAATTCTGCTTTATTATCAGCATATGCTTTATTACTATCTACTTTACTCTTATTACCATCTGTCCTTCGTTCATCCTTGTTGTTAGGTGATTTAAAACCAGCTTTATCAGGTCTTGATTTACTAGAATCTCCTTTACTTTCCTGTTTTATACGAGGGCTGTCAGGTCTTGATTTCTGATCCCCAGAAGAAAACCTTGATTCACCAGACTCATGTCTATGTTTCCTTTCCAATTTCTCAGTTTTGGAACCATCAGATTTAATACCATGCTTAGAATCATGTTCACTTTTGTTTGAGGATCTCAAATATTCAGGTCTTCTAATCTTGGATGGGTCTCCTCTGTATCTCTCTGACTCCCCTCTGTCCTCAGGTCTTTGTTTAAGGCTGTCATGGTCACGCCTTGGAGTATCAGAAACAGAACGCCCATCTGGTCTTTGCTTTCCTGGATCAGATCTACTTTCAGATTTTATCCTTGAAGGATCAGATTTCATATCTGGTTTATGCCGAGATAGTTCAATTTTCTTCTCTGACAGTGGTTTACTGGAGTCCCGCCTATTATCATGTCTATGTTTTGGCGTTTCGGGCCTGCCTTCAGTCTTCTGTTTTGGTGTCTCGGGCCTCTGTCTTATTTCCTGCTTACCATTATTTTGTTTTCCCTCATTTTGTTTCATCTCCATTTGTCG